GGCATGCCTGCTCCCATATTTCACCTCTTTTTATCTCCTCACAGAGGATGCTGTTGGGAACATGGAGCAGAGGAATAGAGGACTTGTTCGTCCCAGAAAAGATCTTTATTTCTCCAGCACTAGAAGGGAAACTTCACTTGTCTCATGCAGTGATTCAAGTTGGGAAGAAACAGAACAAGTAACATGCCAGGTGTATATTTTGTATTGTTTTCTTCCAAGACAGGTTAGGAATTAATGAGAAATTAATTTCACGTCATTATGGCAAAGATTCCAGTTTTAGCTAAACTTCTATCACCTACAAAGATACAGCAAGATAATAAATGACAGATATATCAAGAAAAAAGAAAGACTTGACATATCAAGAAACAGACCAGAAGAGTGATAAGAAAACCCTATATCCCAGCTCAAAAGTTGCAGTAAAACCAGTCAAGAAGAGACTACAGGTATCTGCAGGTTCCCCCTATGCTGGCTAGTAAATTAAAATGCCAGGGAGCGTTCCTGGGCAATGGAATACAATCATCTGTCTAAAATTTATTATTTTTTTAGACTAGCCCTGGCATGGATTTTGTGTGGGCCAATAAGAAATAATTTTTGGATACAGTTGGGGAGCTACTATAGGCCAAGGACTATTCTCAGTTGGCCATCTGCACATAGCTACCCATGTGGAAAGCTGGAAAAAAGCTTGTAAGATAGCTTATAAATGAGCCCACAAAAATACTGAAAAACACAATGAATGTTGGTCATTCAATGCCTTAGTACTAGCAAATAGACCCAGGCACATAGAATTCCCTATGATGGGTATAACCATACAGATGCAGCCAAAAACTAATGGTACAGTGAAGCTAAGATTGATTGAGACAGTCGCACCACCTGACTCCACAAGGACAAAGATATAGCATGGTGGTACATTGAGTGGCCTTTTCCAAAAAAGACATTTATCAGAACTGAGTTTCCAGCATCTTCAGAAACATCGGGAGCAGGTCCCAGATGCTCACTCGGCTGCCAGGGAATTAGTCTTCCACAGAGACACCTGAACAGCACATTACCCTTTCCCAAAACTTCATAGCTGTGCAGCTGAAATAATTCAATACCTTAAAAGAAGAAAGAACAAAGTATTCATACCATGATGCTATTTTTAGGCCATCCTAATTTAATTTACCTCAATAAGAAAAGATTGAGTCAGCAGATACTGTCACAATGGCCTAGTGTAACTTAAGCATCAGTTTTTCACATGGTTTTGATTTGGCACAGGTTCTTTTATGTAACGGTTTATGTCTCTTCCCTGTTCCCCTATACATACATATACATCTACCAGTTCTAAGGGAGAAACACAACCCTACCCATGGTATTCACACAGCCATTGCAATGCCATTTCTGCACTCCAGCTCATCTTTATCTGCCGCTGTGGAAGGGACAGGGATGGGACAAGGGGATGTGGAAAGGAGAGTTGCTGCCCAGTCAACCAAACCACTGCATCCCAACATGCTCCCAGCCAGTCACTCCACTTGCCTTACACCCTGCTACTGCCACTGGCTCTTCACCTGGCTGTTAAGAGTGAATAAAGAGAATCTAGAGGGAAAGAAGGAAATGGTTTGAAGAATAGACACTGTTAAAATGTAATTTTCTTTGGGTTTTTCATATCCTACAAAGATTATTTGGCTTCCCTTCAGTCCATGAAGTGAGTGTCCAGCCTGCTAAGCATCTTTCTGAGCCAAAAGGTAGATTAAGAACTTGGAAACAGCCTTGGTATGTATCTGAAGGAAATACATCTCTCAGAATGATTTGAAAATGATCCTCAATTCTGTGTGACAGTCAACAGCACAGATCTGTACATCCTCAATATACAAAGAAACAATTCCTCCCAGAGAAAACTGCACTAATACCTATTTCAGAGCTACAGACACAGGAAAATATTTTAGAAACTTAAAAAAAAAAAACAACCAAACCACCACACTTATAACCATAACATATGCAAATGGATAAAAAGAGCTTGGAACTAACATAAAAACTTTAGCAAGAGCATGTTAGAATGTCCGTGCTCTGGCAAGCTGACTTTGAGCACAGCCACTTTTCAATTTGTTCAGCAAAAGCTGTCAGATGCTGTAAGTGTCTGAAAAAGGACTAGGAATTTGATGTGCCAGGTCTGTGAAGGATGACAGCAGATACTGATTTTATACATCTGGGAATTCCTGATTTTGAAAATCAGTAATGCTTGCCATGGAAAGTCTGTTATAAACTACAAAATTACACAAATCGTAACCTGAGTATCCCAGGGTCACCATACAGAAAGCTTAGAGCACCCAACATTTCAAACAAAACGAAACCAAACCACCAAAGCCAAACCACAACCAAACCCGCCTTTCCAGTAAGAATAGTCTTTACTGAATACAAAAAGAAAACACAAAGAAAGAAGACAGAGTGACAGTGATTTAGGTTGCAGATGGTTTCACATTGCTCTTCACAGATTTGCCCCAAGAGTTCCACAATCAGTCACTTCTGGACCTCAAACAGAAGATCAAAAGGGAATGGTTTCAGGAGTGTTTATTCCAGATGAACTTGAATAAAATCCCATAAAGCACAAACAAATGGCATTTTAGAAGTGATGGCATCAGCACTAATTCCAAGGAGGCTTGTTGTCCTCAGGGTTTGAGTCTTGTGATCGTCTGAGGGCTGTAGTTGAATTTTGTTTCTCATGGTTAAAGCATTTGTAAACATTTGCTGCCATGTGGATTCTCTTTAGCTTGGTAACATGTAAGCCCATGAATGACTTTTTCCTACAGGATTTCTCTTAGGCTTTTCTCCCCTCACCCAGCAGGGCATATTTTCAACATTGGAGCATCTGGGGGGTTCTCTCCCCTTTAGAATCTAGCCAACTATTAAATTCATTTAAATAATCTGGAGAACTATACATCACTGGTGAGGCTGGGGATAGAGGAAAGAAACAAACATGTACATGCCAAGCAACTGCCAAAGCCCTGTTCCTTTAGCAACCTGACTACAAATAAAGATGATAAAAATCTTTAATAACAGAAGCATCAGTTAATCCAAGTATGGACCTTATAAGGTAAACATGATAGCGTTTAAAATTATTCGAGCTATCTTCTGAAAGATCATAAAAAATCAGTGACTTGGTATGATTTCCTTCTTAAGATGAACACTCACCATATTTATGACATGAAGACTGGCATGTTTGACGTGTATGTATGAATAGATGCAGGAGAAATCCCATGTGCTGAGTGATGGAGGATATAATGATCTGGATGAAACTTACAAAGCAACAGTTTATTTCTGTTGGTTAAACTGCCCTGAATTTACCATCAAAGAAAATTACAGAAAACATCCAGACCCCAGGAACAACACAATAAAACTGCTGCAACAGGAAGTTGTACTTCGGGACTCAGAAAATCCAAAGTCTCTGATTATCTTAAATTCGTCACTGCACAGCTTTTGCCCAGATATAAACTCCAAGCAAATCATCAAATACAAAGTAGCTATGGTGATTACCACACAACCATGTAGTCTATTCTGAGCAGAGACAGCATTCACAAAACATCTCTTTATGAAAATCAACATGAAAGAATTCTAGTTAAGAATTATGAATATTTTAAGGAATGAATAGGTCACTTACAGCCTCATGATAATGGAATTATAACACAACAGCATCAATAAACAGAGGGGGTTTTATATAAAAGTGTTGTTTATTGTAAGGAAACTTTAAATATAACCAACGATATTGAAAATATGATGACTGGCATTTATGACCTTGATAGTAGTTTACTGCCATACAAGTAATTTCTAGCATTTTTTTTTTTAATCACATCAAGCTAGTGCAAAATATAGGTAAGCTTTTAGAGATTCAGCATACAGAATGGCAAAGTGTAGATTTTGGTTACCTGATATTTCCTTCTAGTATAACAGGCTTCTCTTTTTTCCATAAATCAAAAGTACAAAGGCAATTTATCGTATGTGCAATTACTCATACCAGGTTTCTAGGTTAAAAAAAAAAAAAACAACCCCCCAAAACCAACAACAACAACAACAAAAAACAACCAAAAAACAACCCCCCAAAACCAACAACAACAACAAAAAAAAAACAACCAAAAAACCCCCCACATTTGCAAATTTTGCTCAAATGGCATTTTTTTGGAATCTGACGTATAATTTATACCATCCTGTATGATATAAATTACACGTTGTTATTATATAATCATAATTTCATTTACAGGTATGTTTATATAAGTTGTCAGAACATATAACTAACTATAGGATAATAATTACATTGACGTACACAAATATATGGCATTAGAAAAGTCATTATCTAAGAAGGAAAGATGGTAATAATTCAGGTGTTTGAAACAGGGCAGAAGCAGCCTTCCTACAATTCTTGTAGTATCATTTTGGCAGAACTATTGCCAGTCTCCATTATGTGCACTAGCTTTCCATGAACATCAACAGACAGGTCAGTAAGCAGTATTAAAATTGGACTGTGCCTGAAATTTCCAGTCACAGACCCTTGTAAGCAATGAGCCCTGTGCTCATAATTAAGATGATTTTCTCTCTCCTCAGTCTCAGAAGGTATCTCATGCTATTATGGCTAAAAAGATATTATTTTATGATGGCCTACATGTTTCTGAAAGCAGGACGTGTTAGCTTTAACAATGACACACTTTACAGAATTCTGCAAAGCTTCTGAAGTATTGATCTTTCAAATAAAAAATATTTTTGCACTTCCTGATAAAGGTTTTTCAAGGACAAGCTTAGTTTAGCATGGCTTTCGATATCAATTACTTCAGTAATGGAATCTGGTCTTTGATAGCTAAGATCAGACTGTAAGAAGAGAGAAATACAGAGATCATTTCATTTGAAACAGGTAAAAGATTTAACAGATAAAAAAAGTGAGATCTAAAAAAATCTGGAGAACAAGCATAGATAGAGAAGACAAAATGCATAAATATAACACAAGGGAGAAGGAAAACAGCATAGGGTTATATATGATTGGGTAGAACATGACGACGACCTATGCCTTTAGAGCATGAAGGTTAATTTGTCAGCTGTCCTCACTCATGTACAGAATACATGTAACTAATAAAAAAATGCAGTTTATTGCAAAAATATACAAGTCCTCTAAATTGCATAAGATATTACAATGTCGTGCTGAAACATGACATATTAAACAAAGAGGACTTTAAAACAAATTACAAAATGTTAAAAATCAGATTTGGGTCATGAGCATTACACAAAATGCATTGTCATGCTTTATCTTACGATTAGTCTTGTGATTCACTACATCTGTGATAAATGCAACATAAAATCATGACAACTGTAATAGTCAGAAAGTAATATCTACTGTATATCTTCTGTATTAATACATATAAACACTTTGTGTGCACTAATACTTTCAACATATCACATTCAAACTAACAGTCTTTCCAGAAAAGTTGTAACCTTTTTGAAGAACAGAAGATGGTTTAACAAGTTCATGGCATGTGGGGTTTTTTTTTGAAATCTACTCTAAGGAAATGCTGTGTGAAAGGACTTGATTTTCAAAGGTGCCGTATTACTACAGGTCCTCTTGATAGCAGATGAAACTATCAATACTCAGCACTTTTAAAAATCAAGTCCATTATTTATTAAATTCCTGTTTTGTTTACTAGTATTTCCACTGTAAGAAGTCAAAAAAATACCCCCAAACCCATTCTTAAAATCAGAGAAAATGCTTGGCATCTATAGGAAGAAAGACAATTTCTCAGTGGACTAACCACTACTGTGCTATATTCTCATAACAGATCTTGTTGCTCCAATGTTTAGTTCATGCACTGGTATCGGCAATGTCCATGTTTGTTCCAAACAGAGCAACTAGCTGCTCTTCATAGTTTGCAATGTTTCTTTTCAGAATTTCCATACAAGGTCCCAAAAGCCTTTCAAATGCCTGCACATCCATAACTAATACAGAAGGAGAGAGAAAGAGAAAAAAAAATACAATGTGCATGTCAGTTGCAGACACTAATCCTGGTGTTCATGACATCCCAATATAAGATTTTAAATGAAAGGACAGATACTACTGAAGTATATACTTTGTTTGAACAGAAGAGAACCACTTACCGTGGCAAAACCAAGATCAACCAACATATTGCTGCTGCCTTGAAACTTCATAAATAAACACAGAATTTGCTGCATTTCTTATTTTGAAAATATTTTCTTATTAAGATTTATGTCACCCAAGAGCTGCTGAAGAAGTCTGGATTCCTCCCAAGAATACGGTTTTAAGACCCTTGAGATTTACAAAAAATACATCTTTTGCTGATGTTACTAGCTGTATTTGGGGTGTACATCCTTGCTATTTTCACTTGCTTCCACCCACAGTGGAAATTGTAATAGATACTTATTTCCCAGCAAACATGCAAAAAGTTGGAGGCAGTAATTCACATGTAATGTCAGTGCGCAGCTGACCAGATTTTTTTTTACCTGATCACATACTGTTATCCATTATAGTTCTAGGGAACCAACAGGCCAGGGAGGAAACTTCATACATGAGCCAGCTTCCAACCTGGTGGCCTGTGGTCTCTTGGCTCCCAAAAAAAGAGTCAAGATCTCTGCTATTTGGGAAGTGGCAGAGATCTTTGTGACTCACACATACTGAGTAATGACACTCTTCCTCACCACTGCCTCTTAGTCTTTCCTGTCTATCCTCTTTGATCTTTATTGCCTTATCACCTCTGTGTGTTTGGAGATAAGGATTTAAAAAAAAACACAGTACCTTTATAAGTGAGAAACTTCTGGTTACTGGCTTGGTAAAGTCATTCAAGAATGCTAAATCTGTCTTTGCAGTATACAGTTTTCCCATAATTAGATAAAAATATTTAGGAGGTAAGCACCAGACCATGAAAAGCAATGGATGCGAAGGGTTATCTATGAGCACAACTCCTTTGGTCTTTGCATTCCCTATGCCTGAGACTACAGTGTGATTAAATTAACAGCTTGTGAAGACAAAGAATATGCTAAAGCTTAAGTCATGGTAATAAAATGGGACAGGATTTTTACCACAGTTATTTCTTGGATGAAGGTCTACTGAAAAAAGAAATAATTTACCTTTCTGCAGGATATTAAACATTTATCTGATAACTATAAATGGTTTGCAGCAATACCCTCTGTAATGTCCGGAAACAATTTTTATACTTCCATGCAATCAGAGAAATTTTGGAGAATTTGTGTTAAATACCAGTTATCGATTACAAATATTTTTTGCAGATTAATTATGTAAATAGGAATGCAAAGTAATAGATGATAAACAGTCTTATTTGGGTAAAGACAAGAGTTCACAATAAAAACAACCAGCTAGATTATGTGTCATTTCACATTAGATATAAAATACTATTGAACAATACCTAAACATTTGACAGTGCCAAGAGCAAATGCAGAAGCGGCTCGTGGTTTGTTAGTTACAAGCGCAAGTTCTCCAAAATACTGTCCTCTTGAGCATCGAGCTATTTCAACTGCTCCATTCTCTTCTACATCTTGTTTATCCTGAAATATCAGGTAGAAAAAGAGAAAGGAAGATAGAGAATGATACACAGATTTACTGAACTCAGGACTGCATAAGAAAAATAAGCACCAATGGTAACATTACTGCTTAGCACTTAGAATACATCAAGATTTAAAAAATTTTGTGGTTTAGGGATGTTTACCTTCCTTGACATTATAATCCTTACTTCTCCAGATTCCACAATGAAGAAGGAATCAGCCAAGTCACCCTGTAGAAGAAAAAAATAAGTAAAGGAAATGTGAAATTTCCTTTTTAGTTTCATGCTAACATTAAAATATTTGCTGCCAGTGCCTTGAAGCTCATCCTTTAGATATCTGTTGCAAAAGAAAGAACTTTTAATGTGAAAACCACACTCTAGGCACATAATAATCAAAACATCTATACAGAACTGACAGGAACGCTTTTTCATGCAAAGACATAGCTGACTATGCCTTACCGAAAAAAAACGGAGAAAAACAATGTTATGGAAGATTTTTGGATCCTTACTCTTGTTTCTCCACCTTTGTATTCCTTCCAAATGATTTCTAGTATCATAATCCTCCAAAGGCTGATACCCAGTAACTGTTTTGGGGCAAGACAATCCCAGCTCCCTACCCTGAAAAGTTCACTTCTGCATTCTTCTTCAAAAGATTATCAAATTTAAGAACACAACAAGGTAAGTCTTCAGTGCTCCTACTGGGGAGATGGTTTAGTGATGGAATTGCCAGTGCTGGGTTAACAGTTGGACTCAATGATCTCAAAAGATCCAGGCTAAGCAATTCTATGGTTCTATTGGAAGCAAACATTCTTCTGTATAGTTTGAATTTCTAAGTATACTAAAAATGTTGACTCCTTTATTGATACCAACAAAGGGAGGTTTTTCAAGGTACCAGAAGTGAAAAATTAGCTTCTGAAGCCAAATAATCACCTCTCTTAGATCAAAGACATTTTTTTATTTGTTTTAGCTGAAAAAGAAAAACTTAGCTTAAAAGTATGTATTGTCTATAGATAAAATGTTAAATTGTTACTTATTGGAATAGAAAAACTAAAATAAGAAATAAACTGTACCTGAGCAATGATTTGTTCTCCATCTTTGTACACTTTGGTACCAATCACATCAACCACTTTTAAACGCTCAGATACCTTCATTTAAAAACAGAAAATGTAAGAAATATTTGGTTAACATTACAATATTATACTTAGAAAGCCCTTTCTTTTCATGAATCTTTGCACAGAAAAATGTATCTTTATATTCCTGGTTTGGTAATCAATAAAAAAAAGAACTGCTGAACAGTGTTACAGAAGGTATATTAATCTTAACAGCTAGATGTTTTGATAGAGCTTCCATTTTGGTAAGAAGTCTATGTATCCCAAGTCTTCAAAAATTATTTTCAGAAAAGCATGCAGGTAAAAATATAGCTGTTAAATGAAAATATTTTGTAATTCCCTAAATCATTGTTTAATTTTATTGGCTAATATCTAGTAAAATGAAGCTTAATAAGGTAAAGGTAAAAAAAAACAAACAAACATATATTTTTTAAAATACAATATTAACAATAGCTCTTTATCCTGAAAAATGAGAAATATCAAAAATATAGTATCTCTCCAAAACAAATGTATTCAAAATTTTACTGTGGAGAAAAACTGAATTCCAAATTCAAACTGTGCAAAAGCAGAATCTTATCAAGTACCTCTGATACAACCATTAAAATAACGCAACAGAAATCTTACTTCTAACGATTTAAGAAATGGCAACGACTGAATAAAATTTTCATACATTCTTCTCTTTTTGGCATTATTTTTTACAATGATTCTTCGGAACGTTACCCTGTCCTGTGAATATAAAGAGGAAAGGAGAGTTTATTAATAGAAAATACATGCATGGTAGAAAAAACTTTAGACATGGACGAATATGTCCAAATTGCCCAATTTTGGCATAGCCATCAAACTAGCTGGCTGGTCTCCCCATACAGTCAGTTGAGAAAGATTCCTCTAGAGGTCAATCAAGAGCTCCTAAAGTTAAGCTCCTGATCTGACTCACGTTGAGAAATGCTCTGTCCTTTGGCAGAGAATACATACAGAGTTTACATAGAGAAGGTACAGAGTTTACCTTAAAACAGGTCAAGTGGGTAATTTAAGACATTTAAGAAAGCCTCAATATTTAATTTACAAAGCTTATTCATTATCCTGAGGTCCCACACTGATACGTACTGATACGTACTCCAAGAGGTTTTTATATTCTTATACAAACAAAACCAAAATACACTGGGTCTTAGGTCAGAGTCCATTTTCTGCTATTTCAGCAGAACAAGACTCATTGCTGCCCTAAACAGCTAACTGTTTGGCAATCCCAGTGAAGCAGGTGGAAAAACTACATGTATGCTGTTTTCTTCTCTTAATTTCATAAGACTGTGTCAGAGACAGAGTTGAAATGGTTTGCAAACCTTCACTGCTACAGGTGGGACTCGCTGGCCAATAGAACCCAACACAGTTTAAAGCCATTCTTACAGTGTCCTAAACCCTGCCATGATCCCAAAATTCATGTGGATTAAAGTGGTGAAAAACCACGTGCTTTGTTTCAAGAGGAAAATGTTATCTTGGGATCAGTCATTACATTGATATGTTCATCTTGAAGAAGGTGGCTGTCCTAATTTCACTCTTTTGGTAAATTCTGTTACTGTTGTCAAAGATCCAGATAATATAACACTGAAAAATAACCTTGTATTTGAATTGTACTCTGGAACCAAAGGCATTTCCTATCAAGATGTGGAAAAACATATATTTGCCTAAGCACTTGTCAAGTGGTCTGCAATTTGGGAAATGATCATTAAAATAGAATAACACAAAATGGTCTTTTTTCTTAAAAACACTCTGTTTTCTTAAGCTTCAGGTTTGCTTCTGCAGATTCTGGAAAAAAAGACAGCATTGTGTTGGGAATTCTCAGAATCTTTAAAATTAAACTTTCAAAAATTATATTTCTTTTTAATGCTGATACAGTAGACCAGTGCAATTTATATAGAACATTTTAAACAACTAGTATCTTACAACAAGTATTTCACTTACCAAGCCCCAGATGGCACCAGGAGAGGTAGCTATAATTGTAGCTGCTCTGGGTGTATTGTACATTAAGGCCAACTCACCAAAACTTCCTCGGTTATCATAGGTTCCAATGCATCTCCCAACACCATCGCATTTTACATAAATATCATATGTACCTCTGTCAATAAAATATGCAAATACAGTGAGTAGAATCCAGTCTGGTCTTTCCTAAGCAGCCTCTCGCTATGTTTTTTTTTTTTTTTACCATAAATTCCAAAGATAAAGTGTTTGAAATATACATTCACTTATTAAACACCTTGCAGAGATGTATCAATCACTTCCATAAATAAGAAAAGTAGTTCCTTTTTAAAGGGAAGGATAGGATTATTAGTTTTTACATTAAATCAGATTAAAGATAGACTGAATGTACAGTGATCTATCAATCATTGGAACTTATTAAAAAATATCTAATTTAGTATCTCTTTTTTAATTTTAAACACACTAAATACAAATGTAACAAGTTTTTGCAAAAAATTGCTATGGTATGGTCACTGAAATAATAATACAAGTTATTTGACATTTAAAATATTCTGCAGTAGTAATTTATAATGTAATAAATAGAGGACGTGCAGGAAACAGAAGGAATGGATATGAACGCTATTTAAGATTATGAAATAAAGGCATGTATTTATCCAATATATTTTGGATTATTTCTTCCCACATTAAATTAGGAACCTTTTTTTTTTTGCTTTGGGAATGCATTAAAATCTGGTACCTTGTAAAACACGACATAGCCATCCCCATTAATGCTGAGTCATCATTTTGTTCAGCGCTGAGTGTTTGTATGGTATGTGTTGATAAATCATACGAATGCAGCACAAAAATCTGTACAATGATCTTATTGGTAAGGGACTTAGAGGTGATTCACTGCACCTAAAAACTGCGAGGCTGAGAGAATACTGTGAAGTCCCTGCAGCTTTTTGGATAAGAGATGACGAACTGTAACCTCATGAAGCTGAAAAACACTGACTCTTAAGCAAAGAATCCTTCCACACTTCTGTGATCTTCTGACTATTTCAGTGGGAAGGGATCTGTGATGATCATCTACTCCAAAAGTTCGACCTCTTCAGGGTTGAACAAAAGTTAAAGCATGTTACTAATGGCACTGTCCAAATGCCTCTCAAACACTGACAGGCTTAGGGCATTGACCACCTGTCAAGGAAACCTGTTCCAGTGTTTGGCTACACTTTTGGTATAGAAATTTTTCCAATGTCCAGACTGAACCTCCCCTTGTGCAGCTCTGAACCATTCCCATGCATCCTATCACTGGATACCAGGAAGAAGAGCTCAACACCCCCTTCTCCACCTCCCCTCCTCAGGAAGCTGTAAAGGGCATTGAGGTCACCCATCAGCTTTCTTTTCTCTAAACTAAAGAAACACAAAGTCCTCAGCTGCTCCTCACAGGACATGCCTTCCAGCCCTTTCACCAGCTTTGTTGCTCTCCTTCGGGCACATATAAATAACTTAACATCCTTCTCAAACTGTGAGACTCAGAACTGCACAGACTACTCAAAGTGAAGCTGCACCAATGCTAAATACAGCAGAATAATCACCTCTTTTGGCCAGCTAGCTATTCTGATCTACACTGACCAAAAACTTTTGTGTTTCTTTAGAGTTTTAGCATAATACTTCTTTCAAACTATCTGAGAAATCACTGTGTTAGCCTAAAAGTAAAGGTAGAAATAAGAAAAAGTGTTTTGGGACAGCGTGGTTGAGCCTGTGCCAACAGACTAGTGAAGGATTCCAAGGTAAACACTCTTCCTAACTCACTGGATTCAGCAATTATCAACAGCTTTGTGATCAATAAGATTTTACTTAGTTACCTGCTTTTTGCGATACAGATTTCCAAATGAAGCATAATGACTTAGCTACTCAAGGACTAATAACATTCATGTAAGCAATAAAGTTTGCACATTGTATTGAAATGCAGTAAGATTTCAAATATTGAGCTGTAAAACTTTTACCATTGTGGTTTGCATTAGATTTCTTTCCATGTAAATCAAACCAAAACCAGCCTTTGGGATCGAGCAACACATAAAGAGGTTAGGGACATATTTCCATATGAAAATTCTGTTCAAACACTGCTCTCTGTAGCTCAGAGAGCTGCACTGGCTCACGCATGTTCTTTTCTTTTTTCTCCCATGTAAACATATGTAAGAGTTAAATACAACTACATAGAGAAACAGATTTTTCTCAGTGGACTTTTGCATAATACTTTGTGCTATAATGAGAAACAGCAATTCACCTATCGATGACGTAGAAGTTGTCACCATCATCCCCTTGATCAATGACATGTTCCCCTCCTTCAACCAGCTTTTCAAACATCGCATCTAACACTTGAGACATCTGTTCCTATTTAAAAGAACACAGGCAAAGACAAGAAATTATCATCTGCTTTTAAAATTTTACTCTTCAAATTGACTAACTGACCAGCCTCCCAATATGCAGGTAGAAAGTATTCACACATAGAAAACAATCATGCCACAGAAATGCGTGGATCAATCGGAAAGACAGTTTTATTTAGTATTCAGTGTTAGCTTTTTCCTCTTCCAGGGCCCAGCTTCCCTTCTTGTCCCTGCCAATGATAACATAGGTCTTGCCTGCAATATTATTAGCTCAGGAGCATCCAAAGACAGAGTTTCACCCTTCAGAATTCTGTAACATACACAGTTAAAAGAAAGAACTGTATCTCGTATTGCATGCAACACACCTGTTCTTGTCTTTAGAATTATTGTACGGGATTTAGACTTTTAAAATGATTGAAAAATATTTTGAAAATCTAAATTACACAATGGCTGCACAATGGTGCGATAGATGTAACCTTAAAGGTCTGCAGTGCTTTGGCTGAGTAAGTAAATGCTGGACTAAGGAAGTAAGATTTTATAGACAGGTCTCTAAATTACTTTGTTAACTTGAATGGAATACAAATGCTTAGAGAGAAATGTTAACGGACCAACAAAATGTCATCATCTGAGTTATGACTGTCTAATAACAAAAATCACATAATTTGTCTTGTTTGGTGTAAATCTGCTAAAACTTAACTATTCACATTTAAAAGAACTCAAATACAGCTCATTGCAGATTATACAAACTATTATTAGGATTATATGAATCCTAAAAGTGTAACTTGATAACTTAAATTTTATATTCAGTTTATCCAGCAATATGCCTAAAATTCTGACAATAAACACAAAACTATCCTCTACTTTTTAGAGTTTTTTATAAGTATGTATCATATAGGAACAAGCAAGTTCTAGTGAAAGACATTGTAAAGAAAAGCCTATGATTTAGATACCTATCTTACAAAGGCCCAGTTCTAGCATTTCCAGCCACTGAAAGATGGATGACATTTGACTTTTCTAGAGTTCTTCTGCAGCCCTTGGACAGAGATAACCATACTAGATAGCTCAGAATCATTCTCTAGAGATCCCACTTTCTTTCCTCTGATGATAAGAGAAATATACTGTAACTCACAGTTAGACGCTTAATTTTTAGAGAGATAAACTTAGGCTCAATTAATTCCACCCTTATCCTGTTGAATTTCTTCAATTACTCAAAGCTTTTCAGAATATCAGCAGTACCATGTTATCCAAGCCTTTTTTTAAAATGGAAGCTAAACACAATTTTGCTTCACAGAGTTTGTTGTGTGTGGGCACAAAGAACAACAGAATGTCAGCATCCATCATGGTAAAATACAGTAAGACATCACACAGCCTACCCAGGCCAGCACAAAATCATTTAACTATGCCTCTATTTAGTACCTTTTTTTAGTATAGAAAGCTTGTGTATTCGCAAAAAGAAGAATCATTTTTCTACCAATGAATGGGTTATAGTCTATTTCAGAGAAAACTCTGCATGTGTCATTGGGAGAGACTGAAAAGTAGGTACAGGAATTGCCTTTTAAAATCTTTCATGCTTAAATTAATAGGTAATATTCCTTCTCTGTCCCTATGGAAAGTAAAAGGAACTCATACAGAATCTGCAAAATGGACCAAATGAGAGTTAGTTGTCTAAAGCATTTGAAACAGCACATTTCCTTCTCCTTGCTTTACATCTGAACTGTCAAAGTGGCTCCTCGACCAACAGCCCTTGGCTGCCATTTGACAAGTAATAACATGCAGAACACTCCATACTTCAGCAGAGAATGTTCTCTTCTAAATGCAAGCAAAGCAAAAAATTAAAGTATTATATGGTCCCCAATCCTTGGAAATTAAAATACTCCCAAGACATCTTGGAAAAAAGATTAGACTAACAAGATGGCTATTTGCTGTATTGAAGGAATAATACATACAGTTGTAATTACTATTTAGTATGTTTTATCTCAAATTTCAGGTTAAAACATTTTCAACCACTTAATTACAAATGAAGCTCACCAAACCACAACTTTTCTGATAGGTAAATCTATGACTTTTTCAGACAAAAGAGTAGAATTCACAAAGCAATTCCCTTTAAAAAAATCTTTTTAACATTTGAAGGTATTTAATACATTTGAGAGCTGTCTATTGTCTGCTGAAGTAACATGTATTTTAACTTTCTAAGTAAATTGCAGCTGATGTAAGGACAATCAGTCCCTTTTCCAAAGCTTTCTACAAGAAATTAAGATAGAGCAGACTGTAATAACCAAACCAGGCATGTGTTTTTCGCTTTTACCATGAGAATTACAAAATTGTTTGCCCAGCTTGCTCTACATGAATCCTCTTGATTCTCTGCCATACTGAGACTCAATTTACTGACACCCTTCATAGTTACTTTGAAAGGATAAAGATGGACAATTTTAGAATTAGAAAGAAGATTTGTTATCATACACAGAATTAATTCTGGTATTTTGTAAAATGGTGCAATCTGAAAGCTATTCTTCCTTAAAGCAGTTCTAGCTTGAAAAAATACATATAAAATAAAACAGGAAGTTTTTTTTATATCAAGTGTTTGTAAATCTGCCATGTGTAATGCCATAGTAATCTGATAACCAATATTCTAAAGGAAGGTACTTTAAAATATGATAAACTTTTTCACAGAAATAAAATTCATAGATCCGAAGTATTAAACATGTATGTTGTGCAATCTTTATGGTTTCTGCTAAACGTTCATGATCTTTAAGCATTTTTTTTCAAATACAATAAAGCATTTATTTTTCTTAAGGATAATGCACTTTACAAACATCAAGAACCAAAACTGAAGTTTAAATTATTTGAAATTTTATTCTTTACATAATGTTTATTTACATACATTGATTAATATACTCAATGATTATTTTATTTATTAATTCTAAACTGAAAAGCATGTAAATAATTCAAAAAAAGAACATTTTTTAGAAAAAGAAACCTTTGGCTGTTGTCATGAAAGCATGCTTTGATCACCATCCTTTGTGATAGAGAAAAGAGAGGAGGCTGAATGGGCAATCTTATTTTCTGAAAGACACATTCATAATACAAACCAAATCCATCTATCAAGATTTTTTTTAATAAATAAATTTCCTTTATTTGAAGTGTAGTCACTGCATTTCTCTCAAAAAGTCTTTCTACCAATTAGACTTTAATGATAGAGCGTGATTTTACAAAATAATTTGCTAGACGAATAAAAATGACATAGTTACAGCCATTATTACTGTCTTAATCAGCCTTGCTTTCAAGTGTGAATGTAACTGCTGGGAAGCCAGGGTGCAAAGGAGGATTAGCTCCCTTATCAGTATCAGCCAGCATGATATACCCTTTTGTATCACCTAAAGCAGGGATGATGCGGTTTTCTTTCCTCTTACTTAGACTGAGATGATATCTACCCTAGTTTTATACCAACTTAAATGAACTCTGCTAGTACAGTTCTTTTGCCTACTCAGGTCAGTCAGAATCAGAGACTACAACTAGAAGTATAAACTGAACAGGACCAGGGGATGGTTTCAAGCACTGACATGATACAGTCTGGGCTGGTTTGCTATTGGTGCAGTTATTAGCACAGGTGGTAGAGCTTTGGTTTGTGCCAACTGTCACTCCTCCTGACAAGCCCTGGTCATGGTTTGGAGGAATGCTTAAGCCAGAGCTTCTTCCCACAAAAGGTAAAACCACCCTGGTTAATTGCTTGGTTTGGTGGGCTTAGGAGGAGAGGAGAGTGCAAGACAGTTTAGTTTTATTTATGTATGTATGTCATACTGCAGTGCATGGCCTCAGGGACAGAGAACGACCTCTGATCTAGTTTGCTGTTAACCAATTACTGAACTGCATAAAGGTGACAAGAATGAAAAATGTCAAAATAAATCTACTGCAGTCAGTCAAGCTCTGCCTTTGGATATCCTTATTAATTCACCGACAAACAAAATATGTATTTCTGGTCAATCAAATGACATTTTTCCTGTAATTAAAGTCTTCAAAATACTGAGGAATAAGGAAACATTTAATATGAAGGGCATGTGACTACGACTGATAACTAGTAAAAACAAACCAGTTAGCAGGTAGGTATTCTTAGTCACAAAGATAGGTATTCTTTAGTCTGTGAATCCACAGTTCTTCTATTGCCCCTGAGTTCATAAACCACTTTATTAATTAATGCTCATTATGATATTAAGAAGGTAATGAAGCAGACAGAATAGTAGAGTAGGAAGTAGGGAAAGAAAAAAAAGGCTTGACAGAAATAGTTAGCAAAAGATAGGTAGGGAAGCCACAGGAAGAAAAGGAAATTCTTAATCAACAAGTCAGGACCTTGGAGAGGAAGAGTCAATTACAGAACTCAAGTCTACAGGCCTTCGCATTTTTTTTCAACTCCAAAATGAGTGTCAGCAGCACCATTGATCCAATTCAGAATGTTTAGCTCCACTGTGTAATATCCACTTGTAAACTAATCAAAAGGCATTTAATTCTTCACTATCATATAGTCTTATTTGTATTTCAATGTATAATCAATATTTTCAAGTAATAATATTTTCCTTGAGAATATACCTTAACCTAACTTCACACAGCTCAATGTTAAGTTAGTATTCTGCCTCTCCACTATCATGCACATGCCCATCAGTCAGACTCAGTAGCACTTTTTGTATTTTGTAACTAGTCCTCTGAGCAAGTTGGCTGATTCTTTCTGGCTGTTGGCTATAAAAAGAGTAGAAATAATTCAGAGTTGCAAATAGTTTCCAAAATTCTTCAGCCATACGGTATATGGTACATATTCATCATATGGTGCCACGAAGGCACCATACACTGGGCAGTCCTTTATGCAGAACATCTTCAGTAACTGATTATAGAATCATTGAATCATTCGGGTCAGAAAAGACCCTTAAGATCACTGAGTTCAACCATTAACCTAGCATTGCCAAGTCCACCACTAAACCACATCCCTAGGCGCCACATGTACATGTCTTTTAAATGCCTCCAGGGATAGCAACTCAACCACTTCCCTGGGCATCCTCTTCCAATGCTTGACAACACTTTCCATGAAGAATTTTTAACTCATATCTAATCTGAACCTCCTGTGGTACAACTTGAGGCTGTTTCTTCTTGTCCTATCACTTGTTACTTGGGAGAAGAGATCAGCCACCTTCTCTCTCCATCCTCCTTTCTGGCAGTTCTAGATAAGGTCCCCCAAGCCTTCTCTTCTCCAGGCTAAACAACCCCAGTTCCCTCAGCCACTCCTCATAAGACTTTTGCTCTAGGCCCTTTGCCATTCTTGTTGCTCTTCTTTGGACCTGCTCCAGCATGTCAATATCTCTCTTGTAAGAGGGGCCCAAAACTGAACACAGTATTCAAGGTCGGCCTCAGCAGTGACGAGTACAGGAGGATGACCATTTCCTTAGTCCCGCTGGCCACAATCTGATGCAATAGACAAGGTGGAGAGAATCCCCATTTCATAGACCTGATGTAAGTATTAATTTTACTTTACAGAAAAATAGATGATTAAGTGCAGATCTATTTTTTTGGGAACCCATTAGTTTGCAAAGAGCTTTGTGCCACTGAAGAGGGTAGTGCATTAACTGGTCAGGCATTCTAGGCTCACTCATATATAGATAGATCTACCTATCTATGTATTCCCATTAATTGCTCCAGCATCTGTAGTCCTAATTCTTTACCAATAATTTTAAGAACGTAAGGGCATTATTAGAATCTTCTGTTGTAGCACTTTTCAAGGGATGCTTTGGCCCTGAGTATGAGTCCACTATTCATAAAATATATTTGCATTATGCTTTCTTTCATCTTCCAGTTAATCAACTAGAACTGATTAATCAATATTTGTTTACTCTTATAATAATTCTCCAGGTGCATGAGTGGCAATATGCCCAGAAATTGTTCTTGTATATTTGTGAAGAACATGTATAATTTATTATCTTTTAGAAGAGGTTCAAGACCTATCTGAAACATTCTGTAAAGCATTAGCAGGGCAATGGTCTCCAAAGTAACATTTCCCTGAAAGAGAACAGATTATCTAACACTGCCTCTGATTTTTTGCGAGAAATAAGGATGAAAACTTTAACTGCAGGGGTGTGACACAGCTTTGATGCTACCAGTCCCTTGAGCCACCCTGTTATTCTCATAATAGGTTCATCAGTTTTTTTTAAACTGCTGGCCATAACAGCCAAACCAAATAGCCTGTTGTTAATTAGTCCCTGCATAAGTTTCTTCTTAAAAGACAAAACCAACAGCATAACTTCTCTAAACTGCATTGTAAAAAGGAAGAGTAGAAGGCTGTGTTGGCCACTAGGTGAGATGCTGCTGCTGCTGCTCCTCTCAGTGATGAAACAGTTGTTAGGCTGAACAAAGACAAATTCCAGTAACAGAGACTTGGGGCTTATCCTCAGTAACAGCCCAAGGCATCTGATTATCATCTTGTTTTATCCTTGCCGGCTTATACAAAGGGAAATCGGAGGGGAAAGAGGACATACAGCTTCTGATTCCATTGCCGGTAACCTCCAGCATCTGCAGAATGAAAACCGTATCGTGCTTTGTGCATGCATGTACGGCAAGCAGTTTGGCACACTGTATCAGTCCTGCTCCTGGTTTAATGATAACCTTATCTTATCCTTCCATTCAAATTAAACCACAGTGTGTTAGGGTGGGATAAATTTTTAAGAAAACGTGGCCTCCATTTAACATCACATACCGAAGGCAAGTCTGATCATGCCTTAAGACATGTTGTTATACTGTATTTGAGAGTAGTGTCCTATCTAGGAATAGCATTTGCTAAAAGGCCATCATGGAAAAGCTATTAAGCACTTGACATTGTCTCTTCCCCTTCAACTCACTGACTTCTCAAATAATGTTTTTTATACACAGAACTACAGCAGAAAGAGGCTGAAGATAAATGGAAGGGAAATAAAAGTGGAAGTGAGAGATGCTATCAATACACAGCTTGACTTTTGTTCCAGAGACTTTTAGCAGCTGAAGACACTATCTCTCTCCAAGATCATGGACTTTCTTTGCTAATACATCAGAGAGGAAACTGCAGCAGCTGATACCATGTGTGCTTGTGCTACAGGGTGGAGAGGCAGAGGTGAGAAAGAGAGCTGGGACAGGAACATTTAAATTACTGCAACTACACTGGTAGAGCTCAAGTCACTGCCTAGCAGTAGAACAAGAAGGAGGAATGGGAGAAGTCCCCTGGGGAACTAGAGATCTTTGTTCCACAGAGGAGCAAGCCAGACTGAAGAAGGCTACCTTTTAATATCCTTGCTATCTCCAGAGCTCAGGACCTTTCCAATGCATTTTATGAGCAACACTATTATAACAAAAAACTAGGAGCAGACTTCAAGGCATTGGATTGAAGAGCTACACAAAGGGAGGACTGAGCTAAGAAGTCTGCTGAACACCTGTAACAAACCATGGGAAATGTTAGCAATTACAAGTAACTGATTGAGAAGCAAAATTAAAAAAAGAAGTTCAAAACATTAAGCGTATACGGTATTGAGACAGCAGCACAGTCCTGAGAAGACATCCACTAACATGGAAAGTAAACCCTTAGTATTACTTGGAAGAGTTACAGAATCATAGAACCATAGAATAGTTAGGGTTGGAAAGGACCTTAAGATCATCTAGTTCCAATCCCCCTGCCATGGGCAGGGACGCCTCACACCTAACCATGTCACCCAAGATTCCATCCAACCTGGCCTTTAACACTGGCCAGGGATGGAGCATTCACACCTTCCTTGGGCAACCCATTCCAGTGCCTCACCACCCTCACAGTAAAGAACTTCTTCCTTACATCTAACCTAACCTTCCCCTGTTTAAGTTTGAACCACTCTGGAACAGTTTAATGCTCTATGCCTACACAAGATTACAAAGCAAACAGATCCCTTTCCTGCAGACCAAGGGGCTGATGACTATTGAGAGATTGAGTTCTCAGTGGAAGCAAAAGCAGATCACATCCAGAGGACTGATACTGTAAGAAGATATTACCAAGAAACCATGTAAAGCAAAAATCGGGAAAGCAGTACCTCAAAATTAACATCATGGCACACTCTAGAAACACACAGCATTTAGATCCATTGGGTCACAGGGTTCATAGGAGAGAAATGCTCAGAGGCTCACCAAGAGGGGTCTGCCAAAATGCCATTGGCAGGCTAATGTAACAATGGTACAGAAAAGAGGAAGACAGGACACAGCGACAAAAAAGGAAAATACACAAAAAAGCAATTTCATATCCAGAGCAGATGCCCATAAACCATTTTGTATCCCTGAAATTATGTAGAAAAATAATCAGGGAATGGAAGAGCCAAATTTTTGGGTGATTTTAGCTTGAATAAGTATAATAAAGCAGCTAATTAGCTACTCATTAAACAGACAGCATGAGGGAGGAAATCATCTGTCAGGATCCCTAGTGTCCCAAGGTGAACACATATTAGCACCTACATTAAGACTTTTGATGCCCTCCTATAGTTCTAATGGCAGGGTTCTGCAAAGCTGGGGGTGTCTGGGTCACTACTCCTCAGGGCCTCTCTGGGAACAGGTAAGCAGGGCTAGGACTCAGCCTTTGTGCAGACAAAAGCAGGAGCTGGAAACCCTGCAGCATGAATTAACATGCCTTCTCTGTAACGGCACCTGACTTCCAAGCAGAGCTCCAGGCTGGTCATTCCATTAGCTCCCTCTTGAATCACATTTAACCTTTTTGTTCTCATGCTTAAAATTCCGCATAATTATTTCCCTTTCCCCCATGCTCCCGCCCCTGACAGCACTGAATCAATTCTCTTGGGAAAGCATTTGCTGTGCTCTGAGTCATTCCAACCTCGGTATGCAGATTTTGATTGACACACTTGCCTTTTTCCTTAAACAGCCCTGTGCTTCTTTAGTAGCATTATCACCTTTGTCTGATCCAGATCACTCATTCACTGCATTTCGGCTTTCTTAAAAGCCCATAATTGTTTTATAGGCAATAGAAGGAAATTATCTGTGCAGAAAAAAAAATATCTGTAGTGGTTTTACAGTATCTGTATCAAGTAAAATAATAATGTAAACACCTCACTACTGCCTTTCTCTTTCCCTCTATTTCATAACTTGGTTGTTCAATTACATCTATCAATAAACTGTAGGCTTTGGGGATAATTTTAGGTTTTGATGGAGCACTCAGCACACTTTTGGAGGATGAAAAGTAACCAGTAGAAACATCTTAAACATTGCAGTTAACTGATGAGTTTATATTCAATGTACAGCAACAAGATTTAAAGTAAGAAAATACTTTACAATCAAATTAATGTATACATTCATATTAACGTGCTTCAAGACTATCATTCATGGTGGTGAATGAAAGTCATATTTTTAACATCAGTTATAAAAATAGCAATTTTGGAGTTTATGAAATGGTCAAGAAAGCATACTTAAGGGCTTCGAAAAGTCAAATCTGTAAACTTCTATTCAAAAGTTCAAGGGAATTAATTCTTAGCAGCACTGGCAAATGGGTTCATTACAAAGAATTTCTTACCGGATCTAGGTTCTTGAAAAGAAGAATGTCCTTGCATGCCTCCTGCAGTCTGTTTCGTTGATCATCTGTTTTAGGGTGAATAATCTGAGGGATATAATAGAAAAACCTTTAATGTGGTTATCATACATCAACACTAGCTGAAGGACTGAGCTAATTCAGCTAACTAGGCATTTTACCCAATACTTCGGCCCTGCTTCATAGCACTTTCATTTTATAACCTTTAATAGTTAAATAAAACACTCAACGATAATATTATATCACCATAGCATTAGCAAATGAAGCACTGCTGTATTTAAGCTAATAAGATCTTTACATTTGTAGAATCCAGTTCATTTCTGCAAGACATTCTGGATACCTTAATGCCAACTTTTGCTGCATAAACATTACTCTACTACTCTCTAATTATATTTGGAGCGTGCATGTTTTATAAAAAGCACCACTGTTACATTTAGCCATTTCCATGACTACCTCCCAAAGACTACTTTGTGAAATAGGAACCGTGTTAAATTTATCTCAGAAGTTTCAGTGAGTAAACAACAGAATCAGCACTATCCAAACGAGACAGAGATCTATTAAATTAACAGTGTCTGGTTAATGTGAATTTCAGTCAAGTTGAACTCATGCTTAAAAAGATACGCTAGGTTTCAAAGCTGTGATACTACAGGATATTCTTTTTGGCAGTTTTACATGCCAGAAACAAGGTAGAATATAAACATTTAGACTTGTCTTGAAAGTCATACTTATGCTATTTCATATTAAAAGTTATGTAAATGCCTTTAAAAGGGTGACATAAGTAAAAGAAATAAATATAGGTAGTTATTGCATTGTACATCTGAAAATCTTAGCAATTGTATAATTTACCTTTTTTTTTTCCTGCCATATGAAAAATAGTAGAATAATGAAGAAATTATTGCAAGATTATAAGGACACCAAATAAGTACTTTTAGGAGCAGGTGCTCTCTGGCCAAACAACTGCACAAAAACGTTTCATTAACAGACCACATATCAAAGGTGTGCTGATTTAGAATAGTACTTACAACACATCCTACACGGGTGACTATTACAAAGGATTTTTACATGTTCCTTCAAAACCCCAAGAGATTATTAAAGTATATTATAAAAAATGCTTCTGGAAAGGAATGGTAAGGCTGGTTACATTTTTCTGCCTAAATTTAATGCCCAAGAACTGATAAAAAAATAAGTATTTGACTCAAAGCATTAAATACCCTTGATTCTGCATCATCATCTTCCTCATCAGGATTGTAAGCTTCCGCACACACTGAAATAATAGCAATAAAAATGTATAAAATTAATTTAAAATACAATAATATTGCACATGATTTACAGAACAGAAAATGCATTGTGTGGCACAGCAGCAATATGCAGTAATGTAACACAGTAAAGAATAACAGAAGATACTGCTGACAGGTTCCATAGCAGGTCAACTGCTGGTGAAACAAAGCTACTTGTAACTTTGTGTATTCGTAGATCATTTTTGACCATGTTTTCAGTGCTTTAAAAGACCTCTAACGTACTTACAGATTTGTCACCTAACCTGTTCCAAGTGATCTTACCATTCTATCAGATTTTTCTTTTCTGATATCTAAACTAATAATTTCTTGTTAGAATTTAAGCTGCCCATACTGGATGCAGGATCAGATCATTCCCTTCATCTGTGTTCAGCTCAAGGTGGTTTTGCATTATGAGGTTTTGGCTTTTTCTGTTTGGTTGGCTGGTTTGGGTTTGTTTTTTTTGCAGACTCAAAAACTTTTCTTCCCTACCTGTCTTTTACTTTCTAGAGTAACTAATTCTGGTTCTTCTTTTTTTTTTTTCTTTACAAGTCATGTTTTTCAGCCCTCTGCCTACCCTCATTGCCATTCACTGAACTCCCTCCAATTATCTTTATTGAAGTGGAATGCTCAAAACTTGACCCGGTACTTGAGCTGAGCATAGTACCGAGTACAACAGATTAATTACTTCATACATTTTGGGGGCTTTATGTCTTTTTCATGCATCCAGACCTTCTTCACAAGAGCTTGATCATGTTTATCCATGTAATATTCATGACTTACATATTGTTCTCAAAACCCACTGCTTAACCAGCTGTCTTGTGTCCTGTATATGGCTATTCTGCATGTAGAACCATGCACTTACACCTATGAAATATTACCTTATTCCCCAAGCCATTTCTCAAATGTGTTAAGATAATTTTCAAATCTAATCCTGTCCTCTGGCATCCTTCCAATCCATTCTCAGCTTTGTGACAATGGCAAATTCAATAAGCATACTCTCTAATACATAATCCAATTACTACTGAAAAACCAGAAGAGTGTCTAAAATAAATTTTTGTGAAACAAACACACAGATGACAGTGAGACTGCAATAGCTGCTTCAGGGTTACCTTATCCAACCAGTTTTGTAGCTATATCCCAAACAACTTACATTAAGACACTGCTTGATCTTCCCTAGATTGTTAATAGGACAGTCTTGTAAGACAGCATTTGGAAGTTTCCTAAAGTGAAAATGTAGGACAATTGCTCCTTTTCTTTCATCCCTGAATTTTAATCTCTTGTTACAGGGTATTAGATAGTTCCAACAAACCTGTGCTGATTGCTGTTTGCTGCTTTCCTCCAAGTACTTAAAAAATGTTTGAATATTTGTCTGTAATTTCTTTAAGAACAAAAATGATCTGTAAATCGGTGATAGGCCTCTTCCCTCTGCCGCTTCCCTGCCCTTTTAAGGATCAGGTTTTCTATTTTTCCAGGGTGCTTTTTTTCTACTCTCTCTCATTTTTCTTCTTCAAATTCTCAATGGTAATTGCTAATGGGGCTGAGACTGATTTAGCCAATTCTTCCAGTTTCCAAGTATAGTATGTCTCAGGCACAGCTAACCTCGAAACACTGAACACATTAAGTACTCCCTGATTTGTCCTTTCTCTGTTTTAGACCAAGTTTTCCATATACACTTAATACCACTAGTAAAGACTGATGTGCTTCTGTTAAGCAGTAGAGCATCACTTTCCTGGAACGTGCTCTTACCAGAAATATACCTCCAGAATAATTTCTGTTACTCCTCATGGTTTGGGGATTTTTTTGTACACAGTCTTTTCTTGTTCACATATTTGGCCTTGATTATTTCTTTTTTCTCTACATCTTTTGCTATTCTTTTGCCCTTGTTCTGAGTAATCCAAACAAATTTTCTACATTGTTCCTTCTTCTGCTTGATATAAAAGAGGTGCTTATATTTTATCCAGATTTGGTTTACTATGCTTTTTGTCCTTGTGTGCTGTCTCAATTTGCAATTTGCATTTTTTTATCTTTATATTTTTTGAGGAACAACCAATTCCTTTAAGTTCTTTTCTCCAGATTCCTTTCCAAAGGGATTATGCCCACAATCCTCTCATATCTCCATTTTGTTTTTCTGATTCTTTTACTCAACTTCTTCCCCTTCCTGAAATCTGTAAGCTCTGTCATGCCAGTGTAATTCTCACTCAATCGCCTTTCCTTTACCTATTCTTGAACAGTTTCTTCCTTAGAGTTGGTATTAAATAGAATAGCTTCCCCTTCAATTGCTTTTGCCACTGCCTCAAAATTTGGTTAAGTACATAGCAGAACACATCGGGCAGTTGGTGTTCTCATTTTTTGGTTTCCAAGAGATAACTGATTAATTAAAACCTCCCATCATCCCCATCCCCTGTATTCTGCCCATAAATATCCCCACTGACCTGGTCTGTTCGTGCAATGCCTGCATAGTGATGGAGCTCATAAGCTTTTCCCCTTTTAATATTACTCATAAAGCATCAGTATAATAAACTCCCTCTACATCTGGATCACAGCAGAAGTGTCTGAACCCAATACACAGTAGCAACAGTCTCTTCCTCCTCCCTATCCTCCCCCTGCGTCTTTGCTATGCTAGTTCAACCACACCGTTGCTCACTGATTAAGATTTCAGGTCCTCTTGTTTATGCCCCATATTTCCTGTATTATTATACAAACAACTTCTAAAGTAGTGAACAGGTAGACCGATTAACCTCCTCATTACCTATCCAAGTAAGACAATTTCATGGCAAAGTGGGCCATTGCACATATGATGCAGAGTCCCGGAGAAAATCTTGGTCCTCACCATATCAAGCACCCAGTACTCAGTAAAAGGTCAACTTTAAAAAACTTAGCATTTTCAAAAACTTAAAGAAACTTGATACAAGTCCCTCTGGAGCTGACTAAAAGATTCCTATCAAGCTTACTAGGAACTGGATTTGGTCCCACATATGCCCACAAAAGGAAGTCTGCAATCTGTTGAACAACTATAACATTTTACATCTACATAAACAAAATGTTCCGAATTACTGTTTTAGGGTACTATCATTACTTCAGTCTTGTTTGAAATAAACCTATGGGGATTTTATTTAAAGAGCAACAATAGTAACATGCCAAAAAAGCACCATAACCCATCTATCTACTCTGTTTCAGCTGGTATCAGCCTCTGTGCCGTAGTCCGTGTACGTGTACATGGGAGGCAACAAATCTGGATAACAATACAGACTGAGTGTATGAATAGTCTGTTTCAACCTGAGGTATAGTTACATCCTGTCCTTACCACCAATAAAACCTCTACATAAGAAAATATATATATATATATACACACAAAACAGGAATTTAATGGCACCGATACTCTTATCCCAGAACTGATAGGTCTCAGAGAGCCTGGCTGAACATTTAACAGTCTTCCAGACCACACAAAAGAAACTGAATTTAGCCTTGTCCAGGCCCATCATGAATCATCTTACCAGTCCCTTTCAAATGGTCTGAAGGATCAGTCCAGAGAGAGAACGCTCCTGAGGTCGTTTGTGTCAACTAGTGTATCTGCTCTAGCTTCACTCTTCTCTGCTAGAAGGTCATTTCAGTCTCATTCAGCAGGTGCCTTTGTTAAGCATTTCTTCACTGATTACAGACAATGTATTTAAGAATTGCAGCTTCTCTTGGCTAGTGCCCATCTGCCCAAATTTTAAAATTATTCATTCTTATGTTCATCTGTGATGAGAAACTCTCCTGGTCACAATTCGGTACTTATTATGCCTTGGCTTATCTTTCTGCCATAATCAAGGATGAATCTTTCATTTGGGTCACAACTTAAAGATTATACCAATGCTGTGGCTCTGCTGTTTCAAATACGGAATTTCCTTTCCTTCGTTGCTTATTTCAGTAGCCTGTCTCACAGTCTAGTAACATATTAATTCCTAAGTGCATACCCCTAGATGTTACTTGGAAAAAATTGCTAACATCTTACTTCTGTTCTTGAAATATGACAATTCTTCTGACATTACTGCAGTCCACTGAATTTCATGACATGAACATCGGGGTTTGGCACATGAGAATCCCAATAGCCTAAAACGTCTAAAACTAAATGATATGCCTCTTATGTACACAACCACACCTACAGAAGTCATCTGGATTCCAATTGCAGTCAATGGAGAGAAATTGGAACATTTACAAAGTGATTCATCTGACCTGTATGACATGTCCAGATTAACATAAGATTAATTAAAAATGTGACTAACTGGCTGAGATAAATCCTTCCCTCTTGAGATGAGTCCTGTTAGTTATAACAAGCTGCAGGACTGGTTCTCCCACTTCTCCGTTTAGTTCATGTTTCTTGAAAAATAAAGAAATTCATCATCAGATGATGATGACAGCTTTTTTGTGCAACAGCACGCTTTCTTCATTCATTTTGCACATTCTAGGGAGACAGTCTGTGGTCCCCATCTCTTTTGTCTAAGGCAGACATTCACTATTTTGAACCATTCCACTGTTGGTGGCTGCATACTCAGTGTTCAGTATTCTACTTTTCTACCTCTCCAGCTCATTCCACACTCACAATGATACACAGTACATGGTGACTTTATTAAGCTCAAATGGCCTGCCACATTTTGCTATATGTCACTGCTGAATGCAATACTCACATCATTGTCCAAAAGGCAGTCCCAATACCATTCTTAGGGATCTGTTTCATCCCATGTGTAATTATGGCATTAAAAAATAGTGATGCAAACACTGTACATTTTTTTCCATAGGTTGCTAAACTCAGTGAAGTGAAACTATTTTTATTCAGTTTTTCCAACTGAAGGTTACGTTTCACAAATAATTATCCAAAAGATGTATAAAACCAAGCCCAAATACATCAATACAATGTATTTGTAGGAAAAATCTGAATTGTCAAAGGCAGTCCATTATTAAAATACACATGCAATGAAAACTGCATACAGCACTGGATGGATTGCTTTGTCAGCAAAGCTTTTACAATTTCTATTTCATCACTCCAAGTAAAGTAATTTTTCTAGTTTTCAGCAAGTAAATATGTTTGATATTCAAAATCAGGAATACAGTCACTTCAGATGCAAATTAATTCTAAAATGAAAATTAACATTTAGTAATTGTAAAATCACAAAAAATGTTAGTCATGCTCTATCTATTCCCTTAATGTATAAGGAAATAAGAAGCTATAAATAATTAAATGAATGAAAATTCATGTATCATCATGAAATAACCTCTTACATGTAAAACATGGCAGGAAAACCAACCAATATGTGCGTATCCTTTCCAAAACACAGAACCCCCAATTCATAATGCATATTACAGAGAATTTTACAAGGGAAAAAGAGCTGTGGAAATATCTCAGCATCCCATTCAGGACAAATCAAGACTACAGTCTTGGCAGCATAGCAAATCAGGCTGGAGTGTGAAAACAGACTGTCTCGAGCCAGTGCAGCTACACCAGCATGCCACACATCCCTACAGATATCCCTAACTACAACCATTACTCATGAACCCATCCCCTCATACAGCAAGAATGCAATTTCCCTGGTTTAGCATACAAAAATTGCTAAGGTAACTTAACAGCAGTGTGAGATTTCCTGCAGTTCCTATCCCTGCAGGAGGAACCAGAAGAAAACCCTGCACCCCACAATCCCGATTTCATAGTTTTTATTTAAACAAAAGCTACCGTGACGGTAGCAATGAGAAATTACTGCTCATGGTCTCTGATGCTTGCAGTTATCAAGTTCCATATTATTCCTAGATCTAGTTTTGACTGGACCACATGGAAAATGAGATTGAGGAGCTGTAAGCAAACATAAGAACTTAAAAACAACCCAGAGAAAGAAGATCAACTTTCTCCTCTGAGTGCACAATGAGATGAGATAAAAGTTATCTGACTTTACATGTGATCTAATAAGGCAAAACTGACTTGCTCTGCACGGCTGAGATCCACCATTTGGGCAAAACCCCAAGGAGTTAAGTTTACTTTATATGCAAGCTACTTTGGAACAAAGCATGATCACTGGGATCCTCATTTCCCATGATACCGTCAAAAAGAAGGCATCTGTGAAACCCCTACGCCTGACTGGGACACTAAACTGAAACTTTAAACTTTATTTATGCATATTTATGCAAATTAATATACAGAATGCCTGATAACTTGCAATTCCATGTTATTACTATTTTAGAGACATAGAGAATTTACATTACAAATGCTATCCAAACTGGAATAAAAGTATGTATGCTCAGAAAAAAAAAATCTGGCAATCACAGAGACATGAATATTCTTGAGATTTCCTTGCATACAAACCAAAAATTGAAGAAATTCGCCTCCAATATACCAGATTTATGGGGTTACAACTTTTGAGTGGTCCACTACCTAACGCAAATCATTAAATGCCCAGGACATCAGCCTAAAAATCCAAGGCTGGATAAAATTCAGGCAGCTTATTTCCTTTTAATTATCAGGAAGGTGGCCTTCAGTACATTAGGTGGGGACTGACTGAATCAGAGTCTTGGGACCACTGCCAAACAGTGTGTTTCAAAATCAGCTGCTCATGAAGGAGAGTCACCTACTTTCATTTTCTGTGTATACACTGAAATTCTCCAAACACTGCCAGGTAGACATGATCACATACCAGATATCGGGTTTTTACTCAGCTGTGCAGCTCAATGGCAAAACCTTTTGCCAGAGTTGGAAGTCCTTACTCAGCGTGTACCACATGCTCGTAAGGCTCACACAATCAACTCTTCTGCAGTGTTTTCTCTTGTCCATCTGCTACCAATGCTATTTCTAATTAGCCAAACTCCCAGATACTTCCTCCAGCATTTCTAAATAACATGAAATGCCTAATATAAGATGTAGCATTTTGAATGAGGTCCATGCCAGCAGTGAGTCATAGAGCCTCCCAAGGATTCTCCTTTGAAAAGTCTATATGGTGTTCATTTGTGTTTCACCAATCCTCACATCGAAACAGGGATTTCATCAAGACTGAACTGAACACTATGAAAGCGCATTTGAAGAAACACAATGGCCCACACGGGACTTTTTGGATAACTTTATCCCAGTTGAGTTAGTTATGTGTGGTACCTTGCAGAAGTTCCTTAATGTTACTTTGTATATCACAGTGAAAATTGTGATGTTAGATCACAGTTACTTCCTGCACTCCAGAGTCCAAAACACTCTGCATCACAGCTAGTACACTCATTGCTGGGTCAAAGATACATGCTCTTCCCTGAAATCATAGGAGTTTGGATTGCTAAACAAGCTTCTCCACAGAAAGAGTATGTTCGAAATTCACCGCAAGTAGCTGAAAGTTACTTTTAAGTATGGAACCAAAAAAGGGCTTTAACAGGATTTCCTTGAGGACTTACATAGTACTGAGTCCTCTTTCTAGTCCTATTTCAGTTATTTTCATTATTGTGTAACTTGTCAAGATGGAGCTAAAAAAACAGGCAGGCTTCTGGCTGATGGCAGGAGACAGTTTTGTTTGGCTTCTCAGGAAATGCTTTGACTTCATCTATCTGGCTAGTGATAACCAGCACAAACACATATTACAGTGCATACAACACTGCAGGTAGATAGTAAATAGTAAAATCGTTACAAAAGTAAGATGTATTTCCACTAGAAGACCTTGCCAGTATATACCATCTACTATACTACTTACTTTATAAGCTTCTCTAATACAGCATATGGAGTAGCATAGCATACAGCAACATACTCTGATGTTGACTTGTATAACCTTCTGTTCTCATTCTCATAAGGATCCAAGCAGTTCACAATGCTACAGTATGTTATTTGGGACATATCTGAAATATGCATAAATATTTGACTAAGTCTGAGCAGACACAGAGCTCTCTGCATACATTTCAACTTCATACTTGCTAATACAGCAGCATAAAACCAGAACTGCACCCAGCTCTTTCTCCCATATTTCATACTTCATAGCCATCAATCAGATTTTTTTTCATTATTATTGAAAAGTCAGCATTAGAAAGACCTTGGAGAGAGTACATTATTATCCCACTAGAAAAGTTATCCCTTACATAGAAAGTGAGCAAATATAAACGGCAGCTATTGAGAAAACAAATTCTGAACAATGCAACCTAATCATACAATCGTAGAATAGAATCATAGAATAGTTAGGGTTGGAAAGGACCTTAAGATCATCAAGTCCCAACCCCCCTGCCATGGGCAGGGATACTTCACATTAAACCGTATCACCCAAGGCCTCGTTCAACCTGGTGTTGAACACTGCCAGGGATGGAGCATTCACAACCTCCTTGGGCAACCCATTCCAGTGCCTCACTACCCTAACAGGAAAGAATTTTCTCCTTATATCCAATCTAAACTTCCCCTGTTTCAGTTTTAACCCGTTACCCCTTGTCCTGTCACTACAGTCCCTAATGAAGAGTCCATCCCCCGCATCCCTATAGGCCCCCTTCAGATACTGGAAGGCTGCTAGGAGGTCTCCACGCAGCCTTCTCTTCTCCAGGCTGAACAGCCCCAACTTCCTCAGCCTGTCTTCATACGGGAGGTGTTCCACTCCCCTGATCATCCTCGTGGCCCTCCTCTGGACTTGGTCCAACAGTTCCATGTCCTTTTTATGTTGAGGACACCAGAACTGCACACAATACTCCAGGTGAGGTCTCACAGGAGCAGAGTAGAGGGGCAGGATCACCTCCTTTGACCTGCTGGTCACGCTCCTTTTGATGCAGCCCAGGATACAGTTGGCTTTCTGGGCTGCAAGCGTACACTGAAGCTGGCTCATGTTCATTTTCTCATCAACCATCACTGCCAAGTCCTTCTCCACAGGGACAGGGCTGCTCTGAATCTCTTCTCTGCCCAGCCTGTAGCTGTGCCTGGGATTGCTCCGACAAATCTTTTTGCCTATTTTGTATCTGCTTTATACAATCAGATTTAATATTGCTTTACATCAAAATATTTTTAAGGATTCTAAATAAGCTTCAAATACTAAACAGCTCTGAAACCTGATTTGATACAAACATTTTAAGAATTGAATCTACAACTGTTCATCATCTCAAGCGCCTACACCCCGAGATGTACATATATGCATTTTTAAAATACTAACACAGTAAAGAAATCAGGATTGAAGTTGAGCCCAGGAAGAAGTGGGGGGAGGGGGAAAGGTGTTTTAAGATTTAATTTCTCATTATCCTACTCTAATTCGATCTCAATGAAATGAGAAATGAACTCAAAGTTCATTTCCCCAAGTCAAGTCTGTTTTGCCCATGATGGTATTTGCTGAGTGATCTCCCTGTCCTTATCTCAAGCCATGAGCCTTTCATCGTATTTTTGTCTCCCCCTATCCAGTTGAAGACGGGGAGTGATAGACCAGCTTGGTGGGCAGCTGGCCTCCAGCCAGCATCAACCCACAACAGTAAGGTAAGTAAGGACATACAGAAGGGGAAGAAGTGAAAGACACTCTTCTCCATTGCACTCTAACTAAGGTACTGGAGGAGAGGGAATACCTATGCCTTGTAATGGAGCACTTGGAAAAGCAGGACTAGAACTGAAATAAAAAGCATAAGAAACACAGAATTCAAGAGAGGAAAATAAACAGCAGAACTCAGGTCTGCCAGAAGGTCACCAAGTAAAACAGCCACCACCACCCTGATTTAGCTGGGTGAGAAGGAGGGAAAGGAGAAGGACTAGTGTTACAGATCTGCAGAATAATGAAATTAGAAAAAGAACATGGCTTTACGGAACCACGTATTTATGGCTATTTTATATGCTGGTGTTTTAAAGACTAACACAAGATCTTGATAGCTAAAGGAAGGATGTAGTAAGGGAAAGAAAACAGGATTGACATGAAAAGACAATAATCACTGATGATAGGCATGTAAAGATACAAAAGGATTCAAGAAAACAGAAAAAGTAAATTAAAGGCAGACAAGAGAAGGTGACTTCCAAGCGAAAGACTCATTGGAAAGAATGACTGTAGAGAGGTTAGGGACAAAGCCAAAATTATTGGTTCTGACAAGCTTGTCTCAGTGTCCTGATAACTGAACTGAGTTGACCAAGACAAAGTAAAAACCTGCCAATAGCAGTATGATCAATCATCAAGCAAAATGAGGAAGGCAGAGATAATACTTAATCTAGAATACTCCTAGTAACCTGTGAAATGATGTCTATTACAAATGCTCCTCAGAGGCTTGTGTCAAAACCAGTGGGGTTTTCCCACATATGGGGTAGACTTGGTTAGGCAGCTAGGGGTGTGCAAAATTCAATCTCAACAGGATTCGCAGAAAACCCTGCATCCTTTTGGGATTCAGAATACCAAGGGGAGGATTGGCACCTAAAAAGAGGCAGAGTCCTCCTTTTAAAAAAATGGTTGCTATAGCAAATTTACCTGTTAAAAGACAGCTATGGGACCAAGGGAAAGAAGCTTAAACCCACCTTTCCCCATTTTCCAAAAGTGCCCTACATTCTACACTGCAAAATACTCTGTAATGAGATGCTCTTCATTCCTCCTGGGCACAGGCTGTTAAGGAAAATTAAATGAGGTAATAAGCTAAAGGAGCTTGTCTCCTGTAATTTTAGCATGCTGATTTTAGGTATGCTGGCTTTGTTCGAATGCATAAGTCATGTTCATATAATGTACATCAGAAATATGAAAAAACAAATTTATTAAACAGGTTCCAGATAAAACAGGAAGACAGGGAGATGAAAAACATTTTGGAAAATATTTCTGCCAAGTTTTGAAAAGGTTGATTTTGAACATCTGGTTTCTCAATAATTCCAGAAAATCCATTTAAGACTTTTTGCTGACAGGATCCTCTTTAGATAGCCAAAGGAAGTTTAGAAGACAAGTCATAACTATGAAATAATATATGCTGGTTTACTTTTTCATAGTCAGACTATAAACTATTGTTATGAAGTAATACTGGTACTACATACTAAGGTAAGAAAGCAATCACCCAACATAGCAATCACTACATACTCACCCATATCTGTAATGGTGCAGCCAACTATAAGAAGCCAAAAAATAGATTACAAATATCTTTCCAAGAACTGGAACTGTAATCACCCTGAAAACAGGGATTACCACAGTTGTATTCCTCAATAACAGAAGTCGTCCATAACTGTGACTACTTAACACTCAACAAGAAAGAAGGCATCAAGGTCTTTAAGAGAACCAGTTAATGTAAGACAGGAAAAAAAAAACACAATAGAAAACATCTACAAACCTCCATTCAGTCAGCTAATGAGTTACTTCTACTTGGAACTAGTATTTCTCAGAAAGTCGTTAGCCAAAGGTAAATGCAGACAGTGTACTCAACTGAAAAAAAACACACATTTTTATTCCCAGCTTTCTAACCACCCTCCACCCCTCCCACACATACATATTTGGTACCATTATGAACTGAATATTACTATACTCAAGAGATAAATGGGTGAACTCACAAACTGTTGTGAATCTACTCTTCCCTGCATGCCGTTAAATCAGTTTTATTTCTTCTTCTATTTATAGATCTCAGAGATGCCCACAGTGCTGTTTCACTCCCCTATTATAAGATGATGCAGAATGGCTAGATGAGGTGTCAACAACTCATGTGGGACATTCCAAGTTGTATTACTCTTATGCTGGTTACCACCGCTTAACTCCATTTTCTCAGCACCTACTTAAAACCACACTGAACTGAAGAGAAGCTGGCTAAAAATGAAAAACTACATAATGCTTGCAGGAGAAGATCATTAGTGAATCCCTGGCAACATGACCTCAAATAGTCTCAGAATGTTAAGACAGTTGTTTTGGACTTCCCAGTCCAGACCCAAATGGCTGTGGTAACAAAAGCATGCTCATCCACCTGCAGCTGACCAAAAAAGATTGTGCTCTTTCCTCTTAATGATGAAAGGATCCATGCATGAATGGCTTCCCGGAGTTCTGCAACAAATCTCTAATAACGGTCTTGGAAAAAGCTGACTGCATCTCCACAACTACTTTACTGCTGTATTCCAGTCCCTGTTCTGCAGAGTTCTTTGTTTTACACAATCCTCAACTAGTCTCTTGTCTCAATATCCAGGATCTCCAATGGGATCAGCTCTCATGTTCCCACACACAACCACAAACTACAATGTTTCAGCAGAAAATTAAACTCTCAAACAGCAGCAGAAAGCTGGTGAATGCAAATACAGCAACTTTCTCAGCAACTGCACCCATACCAGAAAACTTCTGAATAAAAGCAGCCTTGCCATTCTAAAAGCTAAACATAAAAGTCACGTTTCTAACTCGGTTTCCTCTTCATCAGCTATACACGCAAAACAGGTCCATACTTTCAGGGAAACAATATACTAATGAAATTTTTACTGAACGGAAGGGAGAAAAGATCTATTTTTACTCTTTGAGAGAAGTAGTAATAACACTCGCTCCCTCTGTAAACTACAAGGAGGTGGAAATAAAGATCCTAACCTGAGACAGACGCACTTACTGAAACCAATATCCTAGGAAATCATGTATCCCAGGTGACCACTTCTCAGAAGAGCTCCTAGGATTATAGCACAAGTTAAACAAACAGCTAACATCTCACTTTGCAGGGTGCTAGAGTTCAGGCTTACAGTTCAGGCTTTTTCTCCAGGGAAAGGAATTACCTACAGATGCTCTTCAGCAACAGCTCTGTAAAATACCAAAGGAGAATAAATGAACCCTTAGGATAAAGCAGAGGCATCTAGTTTCTTCAGCCAAAACAGTCATTTGTAACAGAATGTTCTTTTACAGATAAAACTTAGAATAATCAAGGCCACAGAGAAAGGTGAAGGAACCCCAAGGAAATCGTATTCTTTCATAAATGTCCTGTGTTTAAGCAGCAGTGCTAAAGACCTTCATGATTTAATTTGTGCACAGTTCCCTAGACAACAATATTCACATTATCTGTAGTTCTATGTTGTTCTCCTGACGCCATTAATTACCTGGCAAGGGATGTCTGAATGGTTATCAAAAAGAGCAACTACAGAACTGCTTTAGAGAGTGCACAGGCAAGATCAAGGCTTTTCTGTTGCCACTTAGTAAAGGAAACATCTGATGTCCCTGTTCTTGAAGATGGGTGGAAAAACTAGAGATTTTGCACATTTTGGAATGGTCCTGTCACAAGGAAAGTGTTGCAGAACCTGAAGAATAATGGTCTGCTTGCTGTGCAGATTTATCACAGAAGACAACAATGAAGCCAGAACTGGAAGTAAAATCTAATGTGAAATATCACAAAAATTCAGCACACCACTTGTCAAAGGAGACACTGATGCTTAACAGTTGACCAGCAGGTAAACCATTGACTTACTATAAACTAGAATTCATGTTCTGAAGTCAACAACTGATAACATGAACTTTATAGTCTGTGATGATACAAGATCTGACTTATAAATGTACAAAGAAATCAGTAATATGGAGTAACTGAAAAATCTGGTTAATAGTGGGATTACAGAGGAATAATTATTAAAATCCAGAAAAAAAATATTTCCAAATGCTTAACATTAGCAGCATGTACCTTCAGCATGCTGGTGAAGACTGAAGGAACTGCAAACAGACAAATGCATAAAAGAAAAAAAAAGCTATTGATTGTAGCCCTGAGCATATTATTGGTGTTTATGTCCCAATGCCCCTAACAGATTTGAGCCCACATCCTGAAGCGAGATACAGATCTACCTCCTTCCCAATTAAGCAGTTGAACTGAGGCATCCAGTACTAGTGCTGGTTAAAATAAACAGAGAAAACTAGGTCCTCACTGTTTACATCAAGAATCCAACAATCCATCAGGTGCAATGAATGACCATTGCTCTTACAATACCCACAGATCATTTTCCCTCTTCTGGAATAAGACGCATTTCCAACTGAACACTACTACCACCCCCCAAAGAAAGTGCCCAAGAGAACATTAACTTTCATATCGACATTCATATCCTAGGGACTGTACCACAGCACCAAGGTGCTACAATTATTTCTGGTGATGAGGCATCAATGATGAGGCTGCAACAACATAGTACTTTAACAAGTTAAATTCACTTTCTTGAACTTTCTTGAACAAAGTGCTGTGTGTTTAACTACTGAGAACAAAACGTCACTTCTACAGAGGTATCCCCAGCTGGTGCCAAGGGATCTGACAGAACTATAAATCACACAGTTGCTGGACTGGAGAAAACTGATACATGCTTAATGTCTTGGTGTGCATTTGGTAAGCCAGTCCTGTGGAGTCAGTAGCAACACACAAGCTTCATCCATGCCACAGGTCAGTGGTAACTCTACGGGCCCCGCTGGTCTTATCTTTTTCAGGACAAACCTGGAGAAAGAGACAGGCAACTCCCTGAGGAGTCATCCTAGGAGCAGTATCCAAATCAGTTTGGTTCCAGGGGTGCACAGTGTGGTGCTGATCCCTAGCAATGACCAAGAGGCTCACTGCAACCTCAGACACCTGAGCCAGATGAGGCCTTCACAGCTTTCTCAGCTCTACTCCTGCGCAACCCAGGCACCTAACACCTTCACTCACTAAATTTAAAAGAACAGCAAACAGAGCACTCAGGAATACATCGCTTTCACTCAGGAATACATCACTTTCTAAGTAATAAAAATACTTCACATATGGATCAAAGATGGAATTCAAACCTTCTGAGTCTCACAGCAATAGATATAAATTATAAAGACATTACTGCTTTCAAAAAAAATGAACAGGATACAGAATAATCAATCGTGCAGAAGAAAATCTACTCTCTGTAGAGTGGCTGGAGGAGCAAACATGCCCGAGCATCTTACAGTTCATGCTGTAACACACTCCTCCCTCTGAGGATAACGGAGGGTTGGTCAAGGAGTCCCTACAGGTACTGCTAAGGGAAAATAATGATGTGATCTGCAGTGAGGAGAAGTATGCATACTGACACTGTCAATGTTCATTTAGAGTATCACCCACTGAAAGACTCAATTATTTATTGATGATAACAAAACTGTTCAAAATAGGCATGAATTCCTACTGTTACACTTGCACCCAGCATGAAAAGACCTCTCATAGATTCTTTTATTCTTTTTCAAGAACAGTTCAGTGTAAAGTGTTTGCTATTACAGTCACCACTGAAAATCTAATGACTTAGAAAAGGCACAGTACAAGAAGGAAGATAAAAAAGTTCAGTGGGCTACTAAGCAAAGGAAATTTTAAGGCCTTCCAGATCATATAAACCCATTTGTAACTCATCAGCATACTACACTGACCTTGAAATTTCATAGTTCAAAAAAATCAGTTAAAATTTGGTTTAAAAAAAGAGTGTAAGTATTACCACTGGTTTCAACAGGCACAACCAAAGACCCTCAGAACATTTTTAGGCCCTCATGAGGATAAATATTATTAATGTAATACACCTGTAAGGATTAAGTCAGGTAATAACTATAGGACTTTATAAGAATTAGAGACACCTCATAAAAGCACAGTACAAACAGCATGGATAGCCTGTAGGATCTAGAGAATGGCAGATACACCAGATAGAGAGCAAACGCTCCCTCATGCTGGTGCATCTTTCCCCCACAGTCTCCAGCCATTCCTTATACCTGCATAAATGTAATAGAAAAGGCATAACAAGGTGCTTTCAAGACCTGAGAGAAGACAGCAGCTCGTGGTTCAGGGTTTCCACTCCCTCATCCACTACCCAACAACTCTGTGCCTTCAGTTCTCCATTGTGAACAACAAACTTCTAAAGTTTAACGGACATAAGGGCATAGTGTAAAATGCTTATGTTTAATACATTTTTAGAAGGCAGGGAACCACTGCTGAACACACTACACTTACAGGCTCTTGTTCTAATCTGCGTCATGATGTTTATAATAATATATTGTGAGAAGCACAAAAGAGATCATACAAATAAAATTTGGTTTCTCAAGGTTTCTCAAGGAAGCAAAGATTAGAAGACTTGGAAGTAAAAAGAATGCTCTAAAGCCTAACAAGAAAGTTTTCCAGTCACCAGTTTTGTTGGCTGCAGAAAGAAATTAAAATTTTAACTTACATTCCCCAATATTCATGTCAGACATAAAGGAAAATAGCATACAGCTCCTAAACTATGTTTGTGGCTGTACCAGCTAAAGGATCAATGACTCAGATGGAAAACAGAACTGTAAGTCTTCATTGGACATGATCCTCCACAAAAATAAGAGGACAATATGAAGGAGCAAACAGTCATGCCACTCCCACTTAATTTTGCATGGAACACAAAACAGGCATTATTATTTAACCTATAGTATGCAGATGAAAAAAAACAAAGTTCTGCTAATAAGCATTTCTTTATTAAAGAAATGTACATGGATATCCCAGACAGCTGGGAACAAAGACCTTCCATTAATCCAGCCAGCCCACAGTTACGTTATTCCCTTCTGTTAAACCATTTACACATGTTCTACCCACTTGCATCAATGGGCAATTTCATACTCTAATCATTAAAGTGTTATCTTCAGAAGAAAGGATAGTGGTAGTTTTAACTTTGCAAGCATGAAAACAATGCAAGGAAAAAAAATGGGTAAGTTTCATTAAAAAAAGAGTATTTATTAAAAATGGCAACATGGGGATGTAAATGCAGAGTTACTGCTGGTACCACTCACACGATAAATGCGCTAAGAAACATGGAAGTCAGACGTGACTGCGACTAGCCTATAAATAGTCACAGTTCCAATTGCTCATAATTCTTTGAAAATGATCCATTAGTCACATGTTCTGATTGAGCCCTGCATGATAAGTGTGAACTGAACAGAAATGCCCCTGAAATTTGCTTCCTCTCTTGAACAATACCACCACCTGCCACCTGAGTCTCCATCTGAAGACCTTCACTCTTGCTGAAACCAGCCAAAGATACTTCGCACTTTTTAAAAATAAGGTCTAGAACTGAATACCTCAGCTTCATAAATTCATGATAGAAAACATAACTCCATCAGTTTTAACTTCTGGTAAACAAGTTTTTTCTACTTAATAATTCAACCTTAACGGGGAGCTTTTAATCATAAATTTTAAAGCTATTTTGTCACATATCTGGTCATTAAACTAAAATCACGTAACACAGAAACTGATTTTGCTTCAGCTGTGAAAATGTCACAGATATTGAAAGAACTCTGCTCAAACTCCAAACAAGAATTACATTTGGGTCAGAGACAAGCCACAAAAAATTACTCCTAAAAATTATCTGCCAGAAATTCATGGGTATGTCAGAATTATGGGTATCACTGGCACTTTCTATAACCATATTTATGTAAGCCCAGTTACCTAAAGAGTTGTTTAATAGAATAAACACATTCTGAAACTCAATAAACTACTTTTTATGAAAAGTAAGGCTGGTACATTCCCTCTAGAAAAAAACTGTAATTCAAATCAGCATTTCAAATAAATGTCAGTGCACAATAACACAATTTCAAATGGTTTTATCCCCAACTTGATCACCAAAATAGTATAAAATAATAATAAAAAAATAATTGGTAAATCATTGCCACAGCAACTGTCAGAGAAACCCAGTTAGCATCCCTGTAACTTTGTCTGGTCTTTCAGAATGAAAGAAATTTAAAATGCAATGCAAACAATAGCAACTGAATAAAAATAAAAGAAAAAAGTGAATGTCTACCTGCCACAGGAGATGAATGAGTATTACTTTGAAGACAACAAAATTAGGATTCCACAAGAAGTACTGAGAAAAAAAAACACATAAGCAATTCTACTGAGGAAGTAAGAATACATAAATGAACAACAGTATGTGACAAAACGTATTACAGCTTTGAGGCAAATTTAACAAATACAATTATTGTCTTCTGTCTATTATTAAATATTTTTCCAAGTAATTTATTTTGCAACAAAATAGTGAACATACCCCATGTTCCACTTAAAGCAAGTCTCTACACTAACAGTTACACACTATGTAAATATTCCACTAGATTTACCTAATTTAAAAAGCTAGAAAACATAAAACATAAGGTTGTGTGCCATGCCTGTAATGTGTGCACACATGCCATGAAAACTGTACAATTCACTATTATACAGTTAGAAGAGAAGCATACATATGAGCAAGTACATCCAAATGTGCACACACACACTAGTCCTTTCTCTACTTCATACACTCTCCTCCATCCTCAGACATAGAGTATTTTGAGACTGCCATGGGCTGAGAACAATAGAAAACAATTACACAATTACTTCATTTCTAACCTTTTAGTTATTCAAGACACCATTTACACTGCTGCTCTGTAACATCACAAGAGCCTGAGCTGTAATTCACAGTGATTTAAGGTACAGTCCCACATACACTTGTTTATGATCTCCAGTGTGTCATGACCAGCTAAATGTACTTGTGAATTCAATTAACTCCTTTTCATGTAAGTTTGTCAGCTTTCTGTTCTATGTCAGGTGACAGCAATATTCCATCTTTATGGGGGCCAGAGCATCTACAGGAATACATTTATTCCTTACTTTAAATCTACACATATTCTTGACCATTCCACAGTCAAGTTGTGTTGAGGAAGTTTCAAGCAACTGACATCCAGAGTCAGGTTTGAGGATACCATGAGTTGCATGACCGCATCAGCAAGTATAGAGCATTAACATAGCAATACACACGGTTAACACCTGTCAGACTGCAGCAAACCACTCTCTAATAGCAGTCTTTGTCTTCTTTATGTAGCACAGCTTTTATGTCATCATGTATTTTAATCTTCGTTCCTTTTGAGACCAGGTTCTCGCAGAGACAGGAATGAGGAACAGTGCAGGAAACGAGGGTGTCTCACTCAACAAGCACTGCTGCCGGGCACTTGGTGGTAGGCGTACCACGAAGGATTTGAAACCCCACTTAACTCTTTCTTTTTGACTGCCTCAAGTACAGACTTCCTACTCTCCTCTTCTAGGCCCTTAACAATCCCGTGTATCAGCTACTGTCACTCTGTGTAGCTAACTCCTGTCTGCTTTGCTACTGTGACA